CCGAGTCAAGGGTGAAGGTGTGGGAGGCCGAAGCCGACGCAGTACCTGAGAGAGCAGACTCACCAGCACCTGAGGGAGCAGACGCACGAGCACCTAGAGCAGCAGCCTCGCTAGCACCTAGAGCAGCAGCCTCACCAGTACCTAGAGCAGCAGTCTCAATGCCCGGGTCGGGCGGAAAACACCGGTAACAGTCACCCTCATCACTAATAGTCACAGCATACATGGCAGCAAGAATAGCATCAAAGTCAAGGTCAAAGATAGCTACACCCGCCCTAGACAGCTCGCCCCAGCGGGGGATCTCAGTGGCCTCAGGGAACTGGTGACACCAAGCGTCCGTCAGGCGGCCAAAGCAGCGCTGGGTGGAGTGCGCACCCCCGCACTGCTCACCCGCGCGGTCGCCGGTGCGTAGGACGTAGGTGCACGGACCAGTACCCCCACCCCGCTGGCGTGCAGCGTACCACTCACGGAGCTGCTGAGGGGGGGGGATGTCACGAGTGCGCTGCTGCCGCTGCTGCTGCTGCTGCTGGCGCTGACCACCACCGGAGCTGACCCTCTGCGCAGCGCCACCCCGACCAGCTCCACCTCCTCCGCCGCCGCCTCCTCCACCGCCGCCACCTCCGCCACCTCCGCTCCCACCGCCACCGCCGCCGCCGCCTCCGCCTCCACTGCCGCCACCGACACCTCCACCCCCGCCACCACTCCCACCACCACCCCCACCCCCTCCACTGCCGCCACCGCCACCTCCGCCACCCCCGCCAGCCCCTCCAGCACCCTTGCCCCCCGTGCCCTTGCCGGTGCGGCGTCTCCCGCTCGGGGCAGACGCAGCGCCGACCGACTCGAAACCAACGAGGTCGGCCGCAGCAGCAGAGGCAACAGAGGGCAAAAGGGGGGAGGGGGAACACCCCTCAAAGACGGGGGTGCGAGGGTCACCACGAGAGGCTCCTACAGCGACTATGCTCTTCTCTGCTGCTAGGAGGGCCTTCTTGAGGAGGTCAACGGTGAGAGTGGTGGGGCAAACTGAGAGGAAGTGGTCCCTGACGACGCGGAGGGAGTCAGGGAGCCGGGTGACTATGTAGTAGAGAGTGATGTACATGGGGGGGGGGTTCTTGGCGCAGAACTCAGCAGGAAGCGCAGCGCGGTAGCGAGTGTCACTAGTGCGGAGGTGCGTAATGAGGTCAGCGACTGTGGGAAAGGCAGCAAGGTCAGGGAAGAGGTACGGTAGCATGAGGCGGCTCAGTGCAGCAGTGGCAGGGGAGGAGTAGCGCGCAACTACAGCGTCGTACAAGGTGTGAGCACTCTTGTACTGGCTAAAGTGCGCACGCTCAGAGGTAGGCAGGTGGCGATGCACAGCAAGACGTGCAGCAGCATCGCGGTGGCCCACTGTGAGCGAACAGTGGCGTCGGCATCAGCAGCAGGGGCAGGAGAGGCACCAGAGGTGAGGTCAAAGAGGGAGAGACCGTCTGCCCTATCGCACTGTAGGAAAAGCTGCAGGTCATCTACCCAGACGTCAAAGTCAATGGCCCGACCCTCAGCGTCAAAAGCGAGGACACTAGGGTTAGCCATGACAGCAGTAGACTAGCAGCGCGAACAGTAGGGTAAGGGCAGTGCAGTGACAGAGGCGCTGCTCTTACCGGACAGGGCGGCTCGAGCGGCTCGGCGGGTCGGCAACTCGGCGGCTCGGGCGGCTCGGGCGGCTCGGCGGTACGGCGGCTCGGCAGCAACTGCGACTCGGCGACTCGGCGGCTCGGGCGGCTCGGGCGGCTCGGCGGCACGGCGGCTCGGCAGCAACTGCAGCTCGGCGGCTCGGCGACCCGGCGGCTCGGGCGGCTCAGGTGGCGCGGCGGCTCGGGCGGCTCTGGTGGATCGGGCGGCTCGGCAGTAGCTCGGCGGCGCCGGCGGCTCGGTGGTGACGGCGCGGCCGCGTGGGGACGGCGGCGGGGCCGGGTGGAGCGGCGGCGGGGCTGGGTGGAGCGGCGTCGGGCCGGGTGGAGCGGCGTCGGGGCCTGGTGGAGCGGCGTCGGGGCCAGTAGAGGCGGCGCCGGGGCCGGGAAGCGCAGCTCCGGGGCCGGGAAGGGCAGCTCCGGGGCCGCAGGGGTAGGCGACGGGGCCAGCAGAGGCGGCGCCGAGGCAGGGAAGGGCGGCGCCGGGGCCGCAGGGGTAGGCGACGGGGCCGCGAGGACGGCTAGGAGGGGGGGGGGTCGCGAGGGCGGTTTGAAGAGGCCGCGAGGGCGGCTAGAAAGGGCCGCGAGGGCGGCGTGAAAGGGCCGCGAGGCGGCGCGACACGAAGGAGCCGCGAGGGCGGCGGATCGGGGCCGCGAGGGCGGCGCGACGCGGCTGCTAGGGCGGCGCGACGTGCAGGGGCCGCGAGGGCGACGCGACGGGGCCGCAGGCGCGACGCGACGGGGCCGCTAAGGCGGCGCGACAGGGTCGAGAGAGGGGAGCGCGACTCGGGCAGTGTAGAGCGCGCTCCGGGCAGGAAAAAAAAGGTGGTGGGCCCTAGGAACAGTTCCCACAGGGGAACCTGCTCGATACCATGAGAAACTGAACGAGAAAATGAATTGACTAAGGGAAAGTTGGGTACAAATGTAAACCCTAGAAAACTGTACCCCATATGTGCTACCCCACTATAGCCTACAGTAGCTATGTCATATAAATCTGACACGCGTTGCAGTTCTAACCTTCCCAGGCCTGGGCAGATTACGGCACAAGTCACTTTTGGGACATGTTGAAATGTAGCGCAAAACCGCCTGAAGACGAAAATGTCCCGAAAGTGTCTTTCAAGATAGTTTCGGGACGGATTTGTGTCTGTTCTGGGACAGAATGGTTTCGGGACAGATTGGGGATCACGCAATTTTGGTGATGCAGGAAAAAAATACCGTTACTAATTTCAACGACGATGTTTGCTCTCCTATGGATCCTGCTGAGGCAACTTCTGAGTCAACTCAAAAGTCGCCTCCTGTTGTGAATTCAATCTATCCAGAGCCTTGGGCTGAGGATCATGTCACGGAGGGGCCATGGTCTTTAGATGACCTGGTGGCTTCCAGCATGATCTCGCCGCAGAAACGTCATAATAGTAATTATAATAATCTTACACCAACAATCTCGCCGCCCCTAAAAGTTGTGGTCCAACGGCATTGGACGCTTCGACAAAGCCTGCTGTGAATCAGATTCAGAAGTCCAAGTCATTGGACGCGGCTACTACTACTGTGAATCAAAAGCCGAAGTCAGGTCCTGCAAGCATTCGTGACTGGTGCGTCCACGCTGGAGAGTTTTCACTCATAAATCTAACCGAGCAGGTGCTCTGGAATGGAATGACTTTCCGGGCTGAAAATTTCACATTCAATGATCATGGCATGATTCATGTTGAGGTTTGATTAGAAACTTGAAATTTACAGCCTTACTCTTTTTGTTAAAGGACTTCGAACAAAAAAAAAAAAAAAAGTAAACACTTCCAAAAGAAGATGCCTTATAACTTCGATGCATTCTTCAATTATCGTTCAAAATAGAAGGCGTTGGGACATTGTTTGTTCATGTGTGCACGCATGTGTGTGTGTGTGTGTGTGTGTGTGTGTGTGTGCGTGCGTGCATGCGTGCGTGCGTGTGTGTGTGTGTGTGTGGGTCGGGGAACGTGTGCGTGCGTGTGTGTGTGTGTGTGTGCGTGTGTGCGAGTGCTGCGTGTGTGTAATGCAATCTTCTTACTCACACTGTCTCTATCTCCTGCATTGTCTTGCTTCGTCTGCGGCCCTTTCAGGCTCACTAAGAGGTGCCACCAAAATAAGTCTGTGCTACCCCAGCCTCTGGAAACCCCTGACGAAGTTGACCTTTCGCGCGGCATCCCCCCTCCCTCTGCACTGCCGACAACCTGTAAGGAACAGACACTCCTAGGACTAGATCAAGAGTTGCTGCAGAAGCAGTGTTATCAACAGAAGCAGAAGCAGCAGCGGCAGCAGCAGCAGCAGCAGCAGCAGCAGCAGCAGCAGCAGCAGCAGCAGCAGCAGCGACAACAACAGCAGCAGTGGCTGCAGCAGCAGCAGCAGCAGCAGCAGCAGCAGCAGCAGCAGCAGCAGCAGCAGCAACTTCAGCAACATCGGCAGAAACTTCAGAAACATCAGGAGAAACTTCAACAACATCAGGAGAAACTTCAGCAACATCAGAAGAAGGTTAAATCATATGCAGCCCACATTTCAGCGGTCAACGAAGTCAGCAGGGTCAACGATGACAATGTGGTCAACGTAATCAACACAGTCGGCGATGTCAATCCAAACAAAGTCCAAGTCAATGCTGCCAACAAAATCAGTGCGTTCAACGAGGTCAGCGCAGTCAACAGAGTCAGTGCGGCCAACAAACCGCAGCAGCAGCAGCAGCAGCACCAGCAGCAGCACCAGCAGCAGGAGCAGCAACTGCCGCCGCCGCCGCCGCAGGAGGCCAACTCAGATGCAGCCCAAATCTTGGCGATCAACAAAGCCAGGAAGGTCAACAAGGAAAATGCAGTCAACGAAGTCAATGCGGTCAACGAACTCAATGCTGTCAACGAAGTCAATGCGGCCAGCAAAGTCAATGTGGTCAACGAAGCCACCACAGTCAGTGATGACGCTGCATCCTGGAACGAGCTGCAAGGTCTTGTGGAGCAAGCAATGCAGCCGCCACAGAGGGACTTTTCAGCTGTTCATATGAGAGGGTATTTCATAAGGAGCGGTGCTGCCCGAAACTTGCGTCCGCCTCCGTCTCCCACTCAACTCCCACTCCCTCGCTCTCACACGATGCCGCCACGCTTATTATTCACCAGTGCTGGAGCATCAGATTGTACTCAAGATCGGATTCTTCCTGCTGCTGGATGCCTAGCTAATCAGAGCCTCTCCCACGTAGATCAGGCAGGAGGTTTTCGATTCAACTGTGCTGATGCAGCGGGCAGCATTGCTGGGACTGGTGCTAGCGGGTCTCCTCACACCTTCCTTGTACCTCCGTCTCCTACTCAGAGCCTGCTCCCCCGTGCTCGCACAATGCCGCCACGCTTGCTAGTCAGTGGGGAAAACGTCGCCAGTGGCGGGGCATCTGATGGTACAGAACACGGGATTCTTCCGGCTGCTAGTGTTGACGCGCCTCAAAAGTCCTCTCATGACTCAGCATCTTATGGTGCAGAGCACGGGATTCTTCCTGCTGCTGGTAGCAGATTTTTACTGCCAACGCAGTGCTTCTCACATGCAGAGCAACCAGGGGGGTATCAATTCAACAGTGGTGATGCAGCGGGCAGCAGTGCTGGGACTGGTGCATGGGATGGTGCTGGGAGTGGTGCTGGTGGTGCTGGAAGTAGTGCTGGTGGTGCTGGAAGTATTGCTGGTGGTGCTGGGAGTGGTACTGGTGGTGCTGGGAGTGGTGCTGGTGGTGCTGGGTGTGGTGCTGGTGGTGTTGGAAGTATTGCTGGTGGTGCTGGGAGTGGTACTGGTGGTGCTGGGAGTGGTGCTGGTGGTGCTGGGAGTGGTGCTGGTGGTGCTGGGAGTGGTGCTGCTGGTGCTAGGAGTGGTGCTGGTGGTGCTAGGAGTGGTGCTGGTGGTGCTGGGAGTGCTTCTACTGGAGCTGGGCGTGGTGCTCGTGGCGCCAGGAGTGGTGCTGGTGGTGCTGGGAGTAGTGCTAGTGGTGCTGGGGATGGTGATGGAAATGCTGCTGGGGACGATGCTGGTTATGCTGCTCAGGATGCTACGCGGGATGGCGCGGCCTGCAGTGCAGCCAGAAGTGGCGGTGGTCACACGGCTTCTGGCACACAGGGGGATCACAGGCCTCATACGTTGGGAGAGGAGCACGCAGAGGAGAGGAAGCGCAAAAGGAAGCTATCCAACTGTGCGTCCTCGCGGCGAGCACGGCAGCGGCAGCAGGATCGTCTGGCACAGCTTGAAATGGACGCTGCGAATCTGAAGCTGGACAATGCGAGCGCACATCGACAGTTGAAAGAGGCTAATGAGCAGATACGGCAGTTCCAAGTGGAAAAGGAGCAGTCGGAGCAAGAAGTGAGGCGATTGCGACTGGAGTTGAGCAGTATACTGCCGTCCGGTTGGAAGATTCGTGAGGATGGGGGCGTGGAGGAGGGTGAAGCATGCGTCCAAAGCGAGCCGGGAGCTGCTCGGTGCCAAGGTGTTGGTAGCGGCGGGGCTTCCTCTGACCCGTTGCCATCCAGGGGAGTAGGTGACTCTCATTCTCCTGGATCCACTCCAAATGCCCATCCAAATCGCTTGTTCATCCAGCCTGAACTTACTCCTGGAAGTTCTGCATCTACTTCTAGCGTATTTGATGATACGTGTATGTAGAATCTTGCAGATGATACATGCGTGTAGTACAATGCTGCCAAAGGAAGATTGTGTGTTTTGATTTACTCCAAGGTTTTTACTTGGTTCGAATGGTCATATGGTTTGACGTTCAGACCCATGCTGAGCGTTTCCACCTGCCCCAGAGAACTTGTAAAGATTAATAAGACACACAATTTGATTGTAATCTCGGAGTACGGTATGTACAGCATTAAAACATGTGCTTAAGCTTCATATTGTGCTTACAAAATTCGAAGTCCTAGGCTGTCAAAAAATCAGTGAGTATGAGATCATCATGATCGAAAATCAACTTTGCATTACAATACTAGTGGGTGTTTGAATTGTTAAAATCGAAGAACTTCGTTGAAGTTAAAAACTAGGAGGGAGACTTAGGAAGTAAAGAGGAGATAGAATGGGGCAACAACCTCAATAAATTCAAGGGCAGGATGAGCGAAGTGTGCACCACCAACAGCTAGATGCATATGGCAACTACACTAAAATTGATTTTGTAGGCAGATTATGAATAATAACTTCCTACACCCCATAAGCTGCCTACAGCAAGGACCAAGTGCTAGACACGCCCCTGGAAGGGATATACTTCCTGAGTGCGAAGGAGAGAGCTGCCGGCCGAACGACTTGCACTCTCACCAGGTCGAGACAACAAAGGATTGTATGGATGCTATTGTTGCTCGCTATTCCATCCCCTCCTTTGCTACTCTAGACACCTCATTATGCCCTTCATCTTCCTTCACCTCCCTGCTCTCTCCACTATCGCAGATCGCCCTACCCACCTACGCTCGCTTGACGCAAGCTTCCGCGCTGCTTGCGCTGTTGACGACCTTGTTGAGCACCACCCCCCCCCCCCCCCCCCCCCCCCCCCCCGCCCCCCCGCCCCCTCACCCCACAATGTATCTGACCCTACACCTCCTAGTAACCTGCCTCCCTATCCACCTCGTGCCTGCCTGTAACACCGTCCTCGCCATGCACCCCGTGCGCCTCACTAAAGACCTCTTTGAGACTTGCCTCATTGAGATCGAGATTCACCTTCACACCATCGCCTCGACTACTGGTGCGGCAGTCCCCCTCATCTTTGATGGGTGCGCGCAACCCATGTTCCTTCCCCCAATTGCCTCTACTGCTGTTGCTGAGCCTAGTGCTGTTGCTCGTCTCTGCCCTTCCTGACAGGCGGAGACGGCGCTTGGGTGGTCATGGTCGTGGAGGAGGTGGGGTTGCTGGTACGTTGGGGGATGTACGTATGTCTGAAGATGATTGGGGACCTACTGGCACGTCGAACGGTGGCTACGGTGGTGGGCTTGTCAGCTGACATCGCGTGGCCTCCTTACCGGGCCCTGCCATTACCAGATTCAAAATGGTCCTTGCGCAGCACCGGCTATGGGCGCACCGGACACCGTATTGTGCGCGTTCTCAGAAACTAGTCAGGAATGATTGACTATTGGGAAGATTGGGTACAAGTACAAACCCTAGCAATGTGTTGTACCCCATATGTGCTACCCCACTACATCCTACACCCCAACATTTTATATATAGTTTGACACACCCCCATAGGCAAAGTGGGGGAGAACAGAGGGTCACAAGACCAGTCAAGAAATGCAAAGCAAGCTCAGGGTGGATCACAACGTCACCACATACACTGAGCACAAGCAAGAGGCCACAAGGCCAGTTCACATGCAGAGATATATATATGCAACAAGAATAGCACAGTGATCTCTACCTAGCAGAGCAAGCATGCAGGTATATATATAGATCACAGTACAAGCAAAGTCTACAACAAGTGAGGAAACGTGGGCACAAGGCCTAACAAAGTACAGAAACGATGATGATCACCAGACGGAAGTGCCTTGGTGAATATATCAGCAGTATTGGCCCAAGTGGCCACGTGAGCAAGACGAAGCTGACCACGTTGCTGCAACTCTCGAGCCAGGAAGTAGCGCAGAGTGATGTGCTTCGTTCTGTGCTCCAGTCTGTGCTCCTGACACAAGCCAATGGCGGCCTTGTTGTCGACGTATAGCACTGGAGGAGAACGAGGCCGCTCTCCCAGGTCGGTCAGCAGGTAGGTGAGCCAGCGTAACTCCTGTGCAGCCATGGCTGTGGCGTAGATCTCAGCCTCACAACTGGAGCTGAGAACTGAAGACGAGCGTGTAGAACGCCAAGAAACTAAACCAGTGCCAAGGCTGAAGGTGTAACCCTGTGATGACCGCTGCGTAGCCTGGTTGTCAACCCAAGAAGCGTCCGAGTGTCCAGTGAGGACAACGTCGCCCCGTCTTCCAAGCACGAGCCCCATGCCCAATGTACTGCACAAGTAGCGCAGTACCCTCTTAGCAGCATCCATGTGCACCTTTCGGTGCCGACCAGGAGCCACGTAGCGAGCCAGAAGGCCAAGAGGGTACGCGAGGTCAGGACGAGTGCAGGTCATCAGGTACATGAGGCAACCAACTAGCTCTGGGTAAGGACCACTCGGCTCTACGGACTCGTGCGAAGGTGGAGCTGAGAGCGAGTGACCTGTAGCCAGAGGAGTGGCCTGTGCCGAGGACCAGGTGAAGCCGAAGCGCTTAAGGACCTGCTGCACCATGTGTGACTGAGTCAGGGTGATGGTGCGGCGTGCTCTGTCCCGGGTGATCTGCAAGCCAAGGTAACTGCGCAGTTCACCCAGGTCTGTGCACATGTGTCTCTTCTGCAGCTCCGACTTCACCAGGGCGAGAGCCTCAGTGTCAGCAGTGGCAAAGACCAAGTCGTCGACGTACACGAGGATGTAGAACGGCGGCAACGAAGTGTCGGTGCGCAGAAGCAGTGACGGGTCAGCAGTCGACGGAGTAAACCCAAGAGCCGCAAGTGTCGTCCTCAGTGTGTTGTGCCACTCACGTGGCGCCTGGCGAAGACTGTAGACCAGCCGCCGGAGGCTCCACTGGGTACCAGGAGGAAACGACCCAGTGAAGCCAGGCGGGCGGCGCAGCCAGATCTTCTCGTGCAGGCTGCCCTGTAAGAAAGCTGTGCTGAAGTCAAGAGAGTGAAGCTCGTAGTCACGCTGAGCGGCAACGTGCAGCAGCACCCGAAGAGTGGTCATCTTCGGGGTGGGGGAGAAGGTCTGGAAGAAGTCAACTCCCTCTCGCTGACCGAAGCCTCGAGCAACGTAACGAGCCTTGAAGACAGGCGGAGAACCTGGCGGCCGCTTCACCCTGAAAATCCACATGCCGTGGACGATGTTCGCCCCGGGAGGGGGAACCTCATCGACGTACGTGCCTGTGGACTTCCAGGATGCCATCTCTTCGTCCATGGCTGTCTGCCACTGAGAAGAGTACTCACCCGCGATCGCCTCAGCGTAAGAGCGCGGGGTCGGGATGTCTGGTGCATCCGGGTCTCCCTCAGAGGCAAGCAGCATGGCCACGAGATGAGGCGCAGCGGCCGCAAGACACTCAAGGTCCTCGTGCCTGTCCTCAAGGACGTCCGTGCTAAGAGCACACTCACCCCTGATGGACGGAGGACAGACAGACTCAGACTCAGCAACAAGACTAGCAGCGTAATCTAGACGACAGGCAGCAGTAAAGTCAACAAGCTCAGCGACTAGGGCAGACGCAGCAGTGGACTCAAATGACGGGTCAGTGACAACAGTGGCTCACAGACGCGTGACAGTAAGGTGCTCAGTACGAAACTGGTCAGACTCAGGGTCCGCAATGTCAGGCAGAGAGGACGCAAGGGGAGACGGCAGAGGAACACGCGGCGGAGGAGAGGAAGGACGACGGACTACAAGGTGGGTGCCGGGGACAGCCGGCTGACGCTGACGAGGAACACGACGACCGGAATGACCAGAACGGACAGGCGAGACAGGACGCGACGCAGGCTCACGTCGCTCAGCAAGGCCCCCTGTCTGCTCAGTGTATGGAGAAGGAGCAGGCAGCGGTGAGCCAGGCTGTAACGGAAGACCGGTAGACGAAGGGAGACTGAGAACCTGGCGAAGCGCAGAGTCAGGCGGTGGCTGAGACGACGGAGACGGCGGAGCGAAAAGCAGGCGCGGCTGTGCAATGCCACTAGCACCAGCAGCTCCAGCACCTCCAGCAGCTCCAGTACCCTCAGCAGCTCCAGAACCCTCAGCGCCAGCTCCTCCGGGACCAGCTCTACCAGCTGCAGCACCCCCAGAACTGGCACCTCCAGTCCCAGGGTCTCCAGCCTCAGTGCCTCCAGCAGCAGCACCCCCAGACCCAGGGTCTCCAGCAGTAGCACCCTCAGACACAGCACCTCCAGCCCCAATAGCTCCAGTACCTCCAGTACGAGCACCTCCGGGACCAGCGACTCCAGCACCTCCAGTAGACAAAGGACCAGCACCACTCCCACCTCCAGTGACGTCAGCAGAAGTACCTTTAGCAGCAGAGCTCCGAGCTCCAGAAGCGCGACCCTGACGGCGACCGTACCAGTCATGCAGCTGCTGTGAGGTGAGAGGCACACGCGGACGAAGACGGCTACTCCAAGGAGACCGCGTAACAGCAGTCTCAGAACCCTCAGGCGCCGCACCCCCAGACTCAGCACCCCCAGGCTCCTCACACGCAGGCTCAGCACCCCCAGACGCAACACCCCCAGGCTCAGGACCTCCAGGCTCCTCACGCGCAGGCTCAGCTCCTCCAGGCTCCGCACCCTCAGGCTCCTCACGCTCAGGCTCAGTGCCCCCAGACTCCGCACCCCCAGTCTCAGCATCTCCAGGGTCCTCACGCTCAGGCTCCGCACCCCCACGCTCAGCACCCCCACGCTCCGCACCCCCAAGCTCCGCACCCCCAAACTCCGTACCCCCAAGGACAGCACCACCCCCAACAGGACCTGAGTCACCAGTGACCTCAACAGGCGCAGGTACGGGAGGGTCTACCTGAGAGACACCTGAAGGAGCAGGACCTGGTGCGGGGAGGGGGTCTACCTTGGGAGGACCTGGGGCGAGAAAGAGCGGCGGGGGGGGGCGAGGGGCAGTGCGGTAGGGAAAGAGACGGTAAAAGGGAACTGACTCGTCAAAGGTGACGTCCTGAGACGGAAAGACACGGCGCGAGGCGGAGTCATAAAACTGCCAGCCAGGCGCGTCAGGGACAAAGCCAAGGAAGACGCAGGGAATGGCGCGAGGGGAGAGCTTGTCCGCGGTGATATCGCGGACAAAGGCACGAG